AAGTCTAAAAATTTCTTCTGATCATACAACAATTGCTTAAACCCACAACTGACTACTCTTCGTCAAGACAAGTCACGACTAGACTTCATTTCAAGTCTATCATCTTCACGCGTAGCCTGACGCTACCCCCTCTCTTTGCTCTTGCTACTATTCCCATAAGTGTAGTGACCTGGTTGCATTTTTTTATTTTGAAAAAAAACACGAGTTTGGTGAGCCTAGGGCCAAGTGAATAAATGGTTTACACACATTTCATAAACTACCGAAAACATGAGGAGGAAAGGACTATATCACACAGCATTGTCTGGCGAACTTCACACAGCATGTTCGCTCTTACGGCTTAACAAGCTTCACACAGCGTGCTTGTTTTCAGGATTAAATCCTTAGTACAGTCCCCCCGCCCCCAAGTTTCCCACACAACATTTTATCACAGAAAACACGTTCACACAGCAAACATATACGTAAAATACAACAAGCTTGCAATTTAACAGAAACATATATGCAACCCTTAAAAAAATCACGTAAACTCACAGTGATTGATAGCTTCGAACGTTCGTCTGATGAACGTCACACACACAACTTCTGAGTATCGATTCTCTGCTTTCGCCTTCTAGCTCTTGAATACCTCTATTTGCTAGTAAGGAACCAATCTCTAGCTCATCACCTCTATATATACTCTTCGTAACCTCCTTACGAATTAATTACCACTTAATTGGTCGGTTACAAGGCAATTAATACCATTTTAAAAACCCAATTTATTCCTTTATAGCGGTTACGATTCTAGGCCATAAATAGTTCTAACGGCCAAAATTAAAAAAAAAAATAAGATTCTCAAAAACCTTAAATAATATCTTAAGTTATTACAAAGACCATGTTATAACTTTGACTGAGATAATGAATAAAATAAAATAGCTGCATTGTGTGAGTACCCTTCTAGTAAGTCTATTATAAGTTTATAACAAGGCAAGATCTTTCTAAAAAATAAAGGTAAATTTGAAAATTTCTAACGAATTTTTGTATATATTGAACAATTAACTTTTTCTACATTTTCTAAATAATTGTAACACCCTAAGATCCACATTTGCATATAACCATATATTTTATATATCAAGAAATATAAATAATACACATTCGGTCCCAACAGTACAAGAAACTATTTACAGAATTGACAACCAAATTTTTCCCTCCTATTCACGTACATATTCCAAATATCCAAGAGTTAACATGTTGTTCTTCACAACCCATGCAAACACAAAAGGAAAATTTTACATTTTCCCCTTCCCCTTATACCTTGGTAAAGCCTGACCTGCAACGCACATTTTTGAAACACAAAATGAGGGTTAGACCTTGAGGTCTAGTGACAAATCCTTTTTTATGCAATTACAAGGTGAAAATCACCAAAACCTTTTGCAAATCAGATTTTTAATCATACAAATATATCTCAACTTTTCAAATATCATATTCCAATAAGAGTTTATAAATCTTCTTCGCCATATATGGCGCCTAACCACTTAGGTCACCGCATCACTCTGTGCGAGATTCTCAAATCAGATTTGTAATCATACAAATATATCTCAACTTTTCAAATATCATATTTTAATAAGAGTTTATAAATCTTCCTCGCCATACATGGCGCCTAACCACTTAGGTCATCGCATCACTCTGTGCGAGATTCTCAAAGTCCTTGCATCACATTATGTGGGATTATCCAGAGCTCATCTGGCTCTTAAGCCAGAGCAAAGCCATTCAAAACAAAATCACGAAAGACTTAAACTTGAAGTCTAGATCAACTTAAAACAATTTAAACATATAATATGCTCAATCAAAGCTCCTCTAGTCATTTAACTTGAGAAAATAAATATTGAGTCAAACCAACCAGAGCTTCTATAGTCGACCAGAGCCTCTGATCATACCAACCAGAACTTCTGATCTCAACATTTAAAACATACAAGGATATGCGACCAACCAGAACTCTTAGTCTCAATCTTTAAAAAAAACCAGAAGATAAAGGACCAACCAAAGCTCTTGGTCATTGACAAAAGCTTATGAAAAATAAGAATTGAGTTGAATTTAAAAGAAAAATAGGTTTTAAAGATAATCAGAGGCCCTCTAGTTAAATATGAAAGTCAATCGAAGTCTCTCTGGTCTTCTACCAAAGATTTGAATATTTTCTCAAAGCCTTTAACAAATAATTTGAATAATTCGCCTAGAGACCAAGCCAACCAGAGGTCCTCCAGAACCCCTTCTGGTTGAGTTAAGCTCTAGGTTCTAAATGTAAATAAAGAAACAAATTTGAAAATGATTCAAGTCTAACAGGTTTTTGATACAGAGCTCGGACACAGAGCTTAGACTTGACTTTAGATTTCAAGATACAAAGCTCGGATACATAGCTTAGATTTGTCATTACATTTCCAGACACAGAGCCTCTACATAGTACATACAGAGCCTTTGGGTCAAAAATATAGAAAACATTTGAACTTAGATTTCACATCACAACCAGAGGTCTTTTGGTTAGACATAAAGACCAACCAGATCCCCTCTTGGTTCTCATCAAACCTTTACCCTTTTGAACAACTTGAAGTGTAATATCTCGTATCCCAAAAACATTGTTTATTCGATACACATGCAATTAAAGCCTCTAGTTATAAGCCATTTTTCTTCTCTGCACAACATCATTGTTATCATATCAATAAGAGCAATAATTCCAAGTCTTCACATCACACAGAAATGATAACTCAGAATATTGTATCTCATGGATGTGATAACAAGAGTTATGATCAAAACTCAGATTTCACAATCGCCACCCTTATCCCATAGTACACATATCCTTGATGCTGGTCCCAGCTGGGTCTACAAGAATTTTAGACGAGAAGTTTGTAGAAGTGGTGGGAATGAATACAAACACAGAAAACTTTCGTATTTAAAAATATATATTGATAGAGAAAGATCAATATAGACTTTTGCAGATTGTTTGCGGAAATAGACAAGGTAAAGATAACCTATCTAAAACAATCTAAGTTTATA